CGCACCTCTCTTCACCCGAGTGTCCAAGACATACGGCCGCAGATCCAATGAAACGATGACAAAATCAATCATCGAACTGCGGCCTAGGGTGTCTTGGTGCCAAGTGCACATATGGACACCCTTATGCCTGAACATGGTGTTCGTTATGAACAATCCGTGACGAGCACAGAAGTCCAACAATAGAACACCACTCGAGTTCAGATCGGGGGGGCAGTTCCTCCCAACCACGCCCCTCTAGGGATCACTATCATTGAGAAATTATTTTTGACTATAATTCCAAAAACATGCATAAAAATAAAAAAATCAACAACAGTGATAGTAGTATTAATAATAAAATAATATTCAGTGCAAAGTAGCCTACAAATTCTTTGATGGGGGCAGTAAGAGACCTGGATAATAGATAAGGGGGCGCTGAGCTGAAAAAGGTTGAGAAACACTGGATTAAACAGAGGAGTTGACAGTTTATGTTGAGGAAATAAATAAAGGTGGAGAAGTTAATTAGACTGTGACATGCACAGTCCGCTGCACAACCAATGCGGACGCGGCCCCTGCGGTTTTAACAAATGGACCTGGAAGACATTACCCTCCTGCGGACGTAACGTTTCGGGGAAGCAAAACCATGCAAAAAAAAATCTTCCTAAAAGCGCACGTGAGGTGTTTGATGAGAACACAGGATAAAAAACTCGCAGAGTTCAACTGATCGGTTTGCATCAGACAGATCCAACTGACTGATGAACTCGCGCAGATTTCTCTGCAGATGAACCAGATTTCTCTGCAGGAGGATCAGGAAAAGTTTAGTCCATCCCTCAACAGGAAGGCAGTCCAACCTGGTGGCCTAATTCGTCCACAGAATGCCTAGAAATCTTTTTTAAAAGAAATCAGCCCTGAACCAAGCTTTGATTGGCAATCATGAAATTCGGTGCACGTGTGTATCTTGAGAATACCTACAAAAAAGTCTCTTTGAGCCATGATCCAAACCAAACAGGTAGTCAGATGTTTTAGATCAAAGCCACCAATTTGTGTCTTTTACACATGTATCTGAACAAACTCCTACAACTTTTGAGATGCAGGCTTCACAATCACTCAACACAGTCTTGAGGCATTGAAGGTCAATAGTTATCAAAATTATTGTCCTGGGCATAGCCAAGCATCAAATCTGACAATTCCCCATAAAACATGAAGGTTTTTTTCAACTGTATCATGAAGATACAGCTATATCTCCATGATACATAATCCAATCTGCTTCCGAATTTTTAGTGTGACATTAGGGAGCAGTGTGCATTAGGGAGCAGTAGATATTGGTGATACATTTATGACATCACTAAAGTCCTGCCCATTCAGACAAAATGCTACAAATTATTAGGTCCCTCGTCCTGCTTGTCGCTGTATATAATGTAAGATTAAAAACATATCCATTAAGCACTGATAACTAGGGGTGCACCAATTTATCGGTCAGCCGATTTATCAGTGCCGATTTTCTTAATTTTAGGAGATCAGCTGATTTTTACATATGAAACCAATCTTATCCACAGATCTTATCTAGCTTGGCCAAGGTCTAAGAATCAACCTCTATCATCTTTTAGTCTCTGGTGAGAAAGGTTTGACTGACAGACCAGGCCACCAAGTCATGTCTGCAAGTTTACAATTAACAATAGTGACCCCACTGTTGCCAACTTAACAACTTTCTTGCTATATTGAGCAACATTTCAGACAAAAGAAATTGGTATCGGCTAAAATTGGAATTGGCAGATTAAGCTTTTTAAAAGATCAGTAATCGGCAAAAAACTGCAATCGGTGCACCCGTACTGATAACCAAACATTATGTGATCCTAAGCCTACAGTAAATCCTCACCAAACTTTCACCACTAAACAGGAAGTGACAGTTAGGGCTGTTGTCAACGATTACTTTAGTAATCAAGTAATCTTTTGATTATTCTGTAATCGTGTAATCAAATAAAAAATGTGAGGAAATAAAATATTGGTAAATACTGCCATAACAGCAGGATTAATGTCAGATATCAACATCTGCCCATTTTTTCATATTTGTGCACCCTTAATTACTTTTCTGTAGTTTAGAAAATTAACAATAATAGCTCACTTTTTAAGTTAACCTGGACAAAAATTATGCAAAATTCCCATCTCAATTTATATTCAATTTAATAATAAAGCAGCAGACTTTAAATACTCTTCTAAAAAAAATTATGCTATACAGCTTTTAGTTTGGATGTTCATCTTCAGTCAATTTAATAGATGAACTCTCATTTTGCCCAGCCATTTATAGCTTTTGTGTCCATGTTAGTGACTGTATTTGGCATCCACACAGAGAAACACATCTGCCAGATATGTACCGCCATGGTGCGCTGCATCACCCATTTGTTGCGAACAGAAAGATAGTAAATTTATTTTCCGGTTCGTTCATAAAACTAGACTTAAGCTTAGCATCAGCTACAGCAGCCCGCTGTGTTCTGTCTATCCACTCCACCCGAATGCATACACCCGCTGCGCACTTCACCGGCATTAGTTCCGAACCAGTCACCAGGCAGCAGCACTAGGAGAAGAGGCTGGTGTATTTCATGCATCGCATCAGTTATTTTAACGATGTCTATTGGTACCCAGAAAAACAATACAAACCTGGACATTATCATCAATCAATGAAATTCCCCCAGACAAAATTTGAAAATTGAACATTATTGCTGCTAGAAATCGTCAACAACTCATAGGCAGAAGTGAAAGCTTTGCACAACATAAATAATCACCCGGCTGGAACATGCTGTTCATTTACATTTTACGCTAAATATTAAAATATAAATGAAAAAACTTCAAGGCAGATAATTTGCCTCAAGGTGTTTTATAATCGAGGTACTCAACTCATTTCAGGAATCGTTACTTTTGTATCTATATAGAATGAAGCAAGCCTTAACAAAAAAGTGAAGATTTTCACCCACAGAGAACAGAAATCCTTCGTGACTGCAAAGGACAGGAAAAAAAATCATACTGAAAACAACAATGCCAAACTTGCTCAGACGGTATTAGGAACACTAAGATTACTAATATTTAAGCTGCCACATTGTATTAAACAATCTAAGTCAAAAAAAGAAACTTTTTGTCGCATTTATTCTAACTTAAGTATAAAAAACAATTCTACCCCAAACAAACAAAAAAGGTTAGCAAATGTTTATCTAAATAAATTAATCAACATTCAAGTCTGTTTAAACTTTGTTGTTCCCTTTTTCTGGATTTTTAGTAACCCCAGGTTAACCTCCTTATTTGTTATATTCCCTTTTGGCGCTTGTTGCCTTTATTTCGTTTTGTTTTGTGTAGTATATGATTTGATGCTTTTATTTTGATGAGAGAGCTTGGAAGACAAGTTACAACAGTGTTATAAAAATGTATCTTATTAGCAGCCCCCTTGATAGAGGCACATGGTATGTTTATTTTGTAAATAAGGATATTTCTAATATTGATTGGTTGGAATTGTGAATTTGCTTTACTGTAATCAAATTAGGTATAGTTTTTGAATCACTTGATATCTCTAGTGGTGAACGTTATTTTTAGTTTTCAAACGTGGTTTGTAGCTTACACTGTCTTTTTTGTGTGTTTGTGCATGCAGCTCTTATGGTGAAACTCATGGTTTAATTCCAATAAATCCTGGCTGTTCATCAGTAAAGCCGCAATCTTTAATTTTGGGGGGTCTGCTACAATATGAATATAAGAAGATTCATAATTCACAGAACACAAACATTTTCAAGATGTGATTTAAGGATAGTTATACAACAAGTAAAGCAGTAGGAGTACAGTAAATTTAAACATACCTTACAACAGACAGACAGAGTATTGGAATCCTTATCATAGTATACTGAGCCAGGTTTCTGATTTCTTTCATCTGTGTAACAAATGAAAATTACATGTCAAAACTGTAGTAATTTACAATCACCCCCAATGCACATTCATAAAATCCAAAAATTCAAATAACATATCTCCTTCAAGAACATTGGTTCTGTACTACTGTAGGGTGGTTAGGGTGCACTTATATAAGTGCCTGACCAAAGCCTTTTTTAGACATCTAATCTCTGTAACAACATTGGGATATAAGTACATATAAGACGTTTGTTTAGGCCTGTCGCGATAAATGATAAATCAATTAATCACACGATAAATTAAACCTATCAACCTCATTTTAATTATCGGCTTTATCGTCTCTTCCTGCCTTTTTTCTTTTTCTTGATGACACTGAATGAAAAAAGGCTCAGCTCCGGTGCTCTACACTGACCCTCCCTTCCTCATTTCCTTAGTGTAATGTCCAGCTCACACTACACGAGTTGTTGGCTGACTGTCAGCCCATTTTCAAAACCTGAGAGACCACACATTAGCCGACAGAAATCCTACGTATTACGGTTCGTGCCGTGTGGTGTCCAGCCACATGGGCACAAAATAATGGCTACAAGTCCAGTTAACTAATTTTAAAACCAGGCATTAATCAATGCTTTACTAGAATCTACCTGTGATGCATGTGGCTAGAGTCAGCGTAAAGTCCTGACTGAATGTAAATCATTATAACCTATTTATGTCACGTTAACGAAGAACAGCTGAAAATTACTGGGTTTATCAACTGCGGTAGCAATTTGGCTCCAACTCCTCTCCTTGTCATTTCTATATTATTTGCACGAAATGTTGAATAAATATTAATGTTGTTTCCACATATCATCTCCAATGTCCGACTTCGGCTTGCCTGTCAGCTGTTTGGGATTCCCCTCCGTAATTTCCCCTCAGAAAGCAGGAGGAGAATCCGGGCTTTCTGATTGGCTACCTATCATATTCAGCGTTAAGCTACCAGTCGGGGAAAACCTCTGATTTAGATCGGAGCGGCCACGACCGACGATCTACCGTAACACACCACACACTGCAGGATGATCGGTTACGAAATCACCAGCGAGAATCTTAGATCAGCCAACGTTCTAAGATTGTCATAAGGAGAAAATAGGGGCAAAAAAATCGTGTAGTATGAACTACTGCATTAGGTAGTCGGATGTGCCCATCTTCTTTATTTAAATCCAGTGATTATTGAAGGGCACATACAGACTTCATAATCTGCACTCTTTTGGTTGAATGCAGTATTTATTCCCACTTTGGCTTTATGTTGTTTAGTTTTTATTAAAGTACGTTTTTTGTTAATGGAGACTGAGAATCCATTTTATTTTTGTTTTTGGTTGTTCTGGTTATTTAGTTTATCAGTTCCAGTGTTATGTGTTCTTTTGAAAATAAAGTGTATCTATCTATGGCAGGAAATCGCATGCGTTATTAGTCATTTCCATTAAATCAGTGTCAACTGGTCTTGAAACAATATTATCGTTTATCGCAATAATTTTTTACACAATTAGTCGTCCAGCAAAATTTGTTATCGTGACAGGCCTACGTTTGTTCTAGAAAAACAGGAAGATCCTACCATTTTAAGCCATGTCCTAATTATTATTCTTAATTAGTACAAAACGGCATAGATAAGCCAATAAAATTTGGCCAACAAACTGATTCGGTCTCAAATTGAAGTAGAATATATAGTGAGTCAGTATGCTAAAATGCACTTGATACAACAAGGCCCTCTGTATTACTGTAATCATATGTTCTCTCTTCAATTTTGATTTTGTTTTATCTAAGAACACAATGACAATGTTTCACAGTTTTGTGAAAGGTTAATCAGAACTAATAACTGAACTATAAGAGTAGACATTTGACTGTTCACACCGAGTATACAAAACAAGAGGGAGCATCATACACATCATACAGTAATGTAACCCATTTATTATAGCAGCCATTGTGGTGGGCTTAGAAACTGCTAAAGGTTAGGTACACAGTACAACCAGTGCATAATACAGAATTGTTGGACTCAGTTACATGGTCATAAAATAGTTTCACAAGGAGTTCTAAAAACCTTGGTAAAAAGCATGTTGAAGTAGATGAACAAGTAAACAGCTCTCAACATTACTTCCACATCCAAGTCATCATCATTCAACCCATTCAATATGCAGGACACCGGTTTAGCCATCTGTCACTATGAGTAAATCAACTTCATCACAGAAACTACCATATTTTTCGGACTATAAGCCGCTACTTCTTTTCCCATGCTTTGAACCATGCAGCTTATAGCCTGGTGCGGCTTATAGTGAGGTGCGCTCTATAGTCCGGAAAATACGGTAAATTGTTATTAGGCCATTTTGCTTCAGTCAGAACAGACGTCTTATGAAAAGGGATTTAGTCAAATACAATCATATGGTATAAGTTACCTGAAGTATAACATTTTCCAACAAAATCCAAAAGTTTTAGAGTCTTTCCCATCCACATCGTCCTTAAAGGGATCTGAAGAGAGAAAAAAACAACATCATTGTAACAAAATTTAATGGTGACCCAATAAAATGCACTCAAATCATAAATTTCTTATTTTCTTACCCGGGATCCAATGGCACGACACAAACAAGCAATTTGGTCACAGGTTTGTTCTTCCCAATTAATCCAACTCATGGATGTATTGATTTTTGGAGCTGTAAGTCAAGTACAATCTTCATCATAAAGGAAACCTAGTTCAGTGGATATAAAAACTGTACACACCCCTGTTCATAATAGGTTTTTGTGATGTAATAAAGTTTCCACTTTTAACATAGGGACTGGAGCGATGGTTGTAGGGGCAGCTTAATCCACAATCCCCGTAGGGTCTTAGGAATGAGAGGTTGATCTCTACATTCTCATATAAAATATATTTTTCAACCCCTGGATTGAGTGCAAATTCTTGTTATCCTGAGCTATTTCTGACGTTATGCTGCCATATGCTGAGGCAACTGAAGGACAAACTGACTACACCTGGTCTGGCATTCCGTTTGGTTCTGATACCTTCCTAGAGGGGGACATTGGCTGAGATAAAGCTGCCATCAACTACTCGTTCTCTCTCTCCTGGTATTAATTTTTACTTACATGAACATCTAAAATAATCCTACATCAGTTCATCTGATTCTTCTTGTGCATTCTGCTCTTTCTGATCATATCCTTAGTCAGTTATGGCAGATGGTACTGAGCCCAGCCCTTGTATTGAGCCCAGTTCTGCTGGAGGTTTCTTCCTGTTCAAGGGGAGTTTTCCCCTCTCCACTTTTGCTACATGTGCGCTCAATATGAGAGACTTGTGTAAAAACAAAGACAACGCAAGTGATTGTTACTACATTATTGTCCAGGAGGGGAGAATGTTGCAAGTTAATGACTTGTTGCAATCTGTTGGGTTTCCTTAGATATACATTTTTTTGAATAATTAATTGAGCGTACTGTATTGATTTATAGCTAGGATCAATTGGAATGTATGTGTGATTTTATTATTATTATTATTTTTTTGTATAGTGCCTTGTTGTGAATTGCCGCTATTCAACACAAGAGTTTTGATCAATAAAAAAAAACTTCCAGAGAAAATGTGTGGTCCCTCACACAAACTCCAAAAGGTACATTTACGTTGAAGGAGGTATAACCATAGATTGACTTGATAAGTTTTCAGTTTTCAAACATTTTTGCCAGTGAGCCATAAATATAGATCTTTCAAAAAGAAAAGGGCCTATAACCGAAATGAAATCTTAAAGTCTGCACGGACTTCTGGTTTGAACATCACTGTGATGGCCACGCTGTGAACGGGCTCCCGAGAGAACCTAAGAAATTGAAAACCCAACCCCACTAAAACCACGAAAACATATCCATAAAGGTGAAAAAGTACTGGGGTGAGCGAAATACTTCAAAACCGATGCTTTGTAGTGCCAATAAGCGGACATTTAAAGTCGAGAAAATATTGCTAGCGTTTCAGCTAATGCTAACTGCTATTCATCTCGAACCTCTGCTTTGAAGAATTACCGGTGCACTTTTTGACTTGAGCTAAGCAGCCAACAGTGGTATTATGGCTGAATGGGAGACGGTATTGCAGGAATTAAGAGGCTTCCGACAGGAAAATAATGCGCATTTGGGGGAAATAAAAGAAGAAATTCGAAAGATGAACACCAGACTAGATGAAGTGGAGGGTCGGAGGAGAGGATTTTAACCATGGAGGACGCTGAAATAATAAAGCTACAGATAAAGCTTGAGGATAAACTAATGGACCTAGAGAGTCGTACACGAAGAGAGAACATACGCATTTTATGGCGTACCGGAGGAGGCAGAACGGGACTCGGCATCAATGGGTGACTTTGTGGATTAGTTGCTCCGGGAGGGCTTGGCGCTGTCCCAAGACGAGCTCGACATACACATTGAACGGGCTCACTGCTCTCTAGGCTCTCCGCCACCAACCGACGCTCCACCGCAATTTATTATTGTGAAATTCCTCAGTTTTAAAACCAAAGAACTCCTCCTTCGCAAGGCATGGCAGTAAAGAGGATTTACCTGGAAAGGCAAGCAAGTGAGATTGGATCATGACTATCCCCTCTGAGTTTGAAAAAATGAAAAGAATATGCAGATGTGCCCAAGATTCTGAAGGAGTAGCAGATCCCTTTTCAGACCCTCTTCCCAGCCTGGCTGAGGGTGAAATACAGTGGGGAGAACAAGTATTTGATACACTGTTGATTTTTCATGTTTTCCCACTTGCAAAGCTTGTAGAAGACTGTAA